GGACACGACAAGGTGTGTGAGGATTAATGAATGCCATTGCTGCTGGCTTCTAATCAAACTCAGAATGGTCTCCTCTCAGTTTGTCTGGAAAACAGGGAACAGAGGAACAGAAAGAGAAAGCACAAATGGCTTCAAGTTTCAACTAGAAAACCAGGCATTGTGCCCTTATCTTTACCACCCTCCTCCCTTCTCCCGTCAACTGTACTGTCAATAGAGCCAGTCCACTTGTCACAGAGACAATGGATTCCTTTACCAACCTTTTGACAGTGTCCCAGTCACATCAGCCAGGCTGCTTTTGGTGAGCGCCGCTCTGATTCCTGCCCCCGGCAATGCTTCTCTTTCTTTGGACGGAACTCACCAACCGAGCCCCAAAATGGCTGCACTGTTGGAGAGGAAACTGAGGAGTAGACGCCGTTCTCTCTGACCCCCTCCCGCCCTGACGTCGGCCCAAAGAACTGTGAATTTCCTTTAGGCTGTTAGAGAAGTCAATGGGCCCACACACACAAAGGGGATTAAACACTCAGCAGTAACAGGTGTAGCCAAACGCTGTCCTGACTACATGAAAGGGTGATTCATCACACATGCTGTACAGCGACAAGAAGACCACACCGTTCTTGTTTAGACATTCAAATTTAGTCTAAAGGAATGAATGGATAATTGCACAATGGGTTTGCGTTTAGACCGTGTCTGAAAATAGCTGAATAATAATTCTGAAGCTGCTATATGAATTATTTACACTCACAGATTTAAGAAATGTGTTTTTGGAGGAGCAGTTAAAGAAAACAAATATTCAGATGCTGTAAAATCATACATCTGCTTGATTGTCCAATTTTAATGGGTCATTCTGTTGAAAGCTTGGCACTCGCTCTGGTGAAATGACTTTTTTTTCCCCACTGAGGCATCATTTGGATGGCTTTTCACATGCTGTCCACTCTCTGCCACATTGTCCTGCGCTCTCTTCAACACACCTACATGTCCACTGAAAGCACGCAGTCCTATTGTTACCTCAGCTGTTTGCAGCATTTGCATAAGGCACTTTTCCAGCAAGCATTTGGAGTGGTCTTGAGAGAGGGTCCACTTTATACAGCCACAGCAAAAAAATGTCAAGTGCCAATTAGTGAAGGTTTGCTGCCTTTCAGCAGAACCCCACCCCTCCAATCCCTCTTTATTTACCCCTCAGCCATTTCTCTCACACTCCGGCCCGGCTAACAGCACCTTAAAACAAAGACCATCTCTACCTCAGTTACCTCAGAGGGAAGGAAACTGCTCGATGTAAAGACTAGCCCACCATGCAGAGTTGTTTCCCCTTGTGGGACTGTCCACCAGACAATAAAGTCTCCCTGAGCTTCCAAGATGATTAACAGGGATTCATAGTCCATCCCTCTAAAGATATGCCTCAAGATGAACCTGTCAGATTGGGTTTCAATTTTAGGTTGGTACTAGTAAATCGGTTACTTTCTGGGTAGTGGCTAGTATTTTTGCCTTATCTGTCAGCCTCTGTGGCAGGTGACCTATAAAAAAAAATTATTGTACAAACAATTTTCAAATTTTACAAAAAAACCCGGCAAATAACATATTGAATTAAATGTGAAATTTTATATATAATTATAATTATATATAATTATATATAAAATATTTAATAATAGAATACAATACAATTTTGAAAAGTTAAGTTAAAAACTTTTTAAACTTAAATTGCAGTTATTTATTCAATTCAAATGTATAACAAAGACTCTTTAAGACTCGGCGGCCATCTTTGAAACGCCTCTCGGGCATGCAAGTGCAGCTCCTATCTCTTTGTATGGGGAAACATCAAATTGTTGATGTTTCCCCATACCAAAACTGTTCGCTAAGCTTACGATTAAATTTCATATTTGAAATCACCAAAGAAATCTGACAACACCTGTGTCATAAATGGTGTTTCTTTTGCTCAAATAGCGTTATAAAAAGCTTATTTTTCAGGCTAGATCAGCCAGTGCGCATGCACAGTCCTAAGCGCACGTCTCAGAACGCTGACTGTTTCTATAGCAACCGGGACTTCTAACGGCAGCTGCAGTGATGCGCTGACTTTACCGATTAGCAATTGGCCCTTTCATTCAGAAGGCGGGGCTTCCTGCGATTGAGCGGCCATATTGAGCGTTGCATTTTTTCCCATTCAAAACTATACGAGTGACACGTCTTGGGTATTCTATAGTCTTTGTGTATAAAATGCCATATAAAAAAGTAAAAGTGGTCAAATTGTTTGTCTGGTAGGCAAAAAATTTAATTTTCCACACTGACTAGGTTATTTTAACATGGCGTGTAAGATGATCTCAAGTTTCATCCCTCACCCAAATAAATTTTTCAGTGTTGTCTAGAACATTCCCTGTGGTGTATATGACTTCCATTTCCATTATACTTCCAGAGCTCCTACAGGAGATGGTCAACATGTGTACTTTCAGAGAAACTTTCAATGTTTCATTTAGAACTATGACATGGATCAGTAGCAACAGATATTGTGAGCTTTTTAATACTCAAATAAGGTTTGCGTTTTTTGTGCACACTAACATACCATGAAGAAAGAGTGTGTTACAATTTTAAATGGCCCTTTTTGTGCTCTCTGGGACACCGTTGTTCCTCCACACAGCGTTTAGTTCAGTTAGCCGCCTCCTGCCACCCAAAGGATTTATCCTTCACTCTCGGTCTCTTTCATTCAATGTCAATTTTTTCCCCAGCCTTGATTCTCAGATGGTTGGGTCTGATTTGCATGCATTTGCATAATGAAAGTCATTTGCATGCTCAGGGAAGACTTTACCATGAGAACAGACATGAAAAGGTGTGCGTGTGCATGCCCGATCTTGCTTATGCCCGATCTTGCTTATGCCCTCACATGCTGATGCATTTATTCCCTTCTTCCTTCATCTTTCCGTTTTCACTCTCAAACAGACCAACCATCCTTGATACCAGGGAAAGGAATGAGTGAAGTATTGGGGCAGGTCGGTTGTGTGGCTGTCGTCCTGCTGGCGTTGCTGCTCCCCTCCCCTTCGCTGCTCGCCTGCCCCCTTCCTCCCATCACGAGATGCAGTTTGCACAAAGCCACCATCTTAGAGCATGCGGGCATTAAATGGAAGTGGAAAATAAGCAGGTATGACCCACCATCACTCTCCTGCGTCTCACACCCTCCTCTCTTGCCTCTCCTCTTTTACACATACTGTCCCCTCTCTCTCCCCCTGCTCGAAGGCACTGTTCATTACAGCAGATGTGTTTGTTAATTGTGAATATCACACGTCCTGGTTGTGATAGGCGCTGAAGGGGGCGGGGAGATGTTTTGTAGTCATTTGCATTAAATCATTCCCCAGTACAATGGCTGAGGCAGAGCTGCATCTGCGGGCATCAACGGTGAATAGATCGCCATCAGGGATTCTGTTGCCCCGTCGTTGTTCCATGCCAGCCATGGAGATGGCGCGCTGCCATTATTGAGAAGAACAGCAAGACTTCCCTCCTGCTTTCAGCTGTAGGGTCGTCATGATATTAGCTTTCCCATGAGAGAGGAGTTTGAATGAGCAAAATGGATTGCCGTTTTTAGTCTTACATAACTATAGAAACCATAAACTAATATCTTGGATTATTTAGCATCTATTTAAAGACAAATTAATGGGAAAACATGCTAAGAGAGAGCAAGAGTAGGAGCAGAGAGCATGATAGAGAGGTCTCAATGAAGACGGGCTCCCTTTGTATGTCTTGGTTTCTAAGAGTCGTGGGCCAGACAATTCCAGTATTGTTCTCCGTGGCGAGCTTGCTGTGACGCACTGTTATTAAGGCCAGGAAGCTATAAGTTTAAAAACCGCTTAACCAAAACACCAATTAGAGCCGACTGTGCCTGATGAAGTGAGGTAGCAAAGTAAACAATACAGGCCATTGTCCTTCATTCTCTCAGAGGGCTGCCTTTGTTTAAGTCCCATCACTGAAAGTCCAGACAATACCCTGAGCAAGGAGATACAGTGGAGGACTAGCATGTTCAGAGCTCAGTATCTCTGTTCAAGAGAAGAAGGTGCATGTTAGCTGTATACACTTACAAAAATGCCACCACAGTACCATGTGGTAAGGAGATGGTGTTACATGGCAATACTATGGTACCATGGTATCTTCATGATATGACACCATGAAAGTACCAAGATGCATGTCCAAAAACACTTTTTTGTAAGTGTAGCATTGTATCCTGATCAACTTTTAACAAAATAAAGAAGTCTCTATTAGCTCTATAAAATATCAGAAACTATGTTTTGCTTAAAATGCATTACTGCTTAAATTTTTAAGCAGGGGGGGGGGGGGGGGGGGCTCACCAAGGCTGCATTTGGAAATGCAGTAAAAATACTTTTTAAAAAAACAGTAATATTTTGAAAAATTATTACAATTCAAAATAACTGTTTTCTATTGTAATATATTTTATAATGTAATTTATTCCTGTGATGGTTTAATTTTTAGCAGCCATTACTCCAGTCTTCATTGTCACGTGATCCTTCAGAAATCATTCTAAAGTGCTGATTTGGTGCTCAAGAAACATTTCTTATTACTATTATTGTTGAAAACAGTTGTGTGCGCTTAATATTTTTGTGGTAACTGTGATACATATTTTTCAGGATTCTTTGATGAGAAGAAATTTCAAAAGAACAGCAGTGAAATAGAAATCTTTTGTAATATTGTAAATATCTTTACTGTCACTTTTGATCAATTTAATGAATTCTTGCTGAATAAAAGTATTAATTTCTTGAAAAAATAATAATTCTGACTCCAAACAGTAGTGCATAACTAGTGCAACCACTAGAAATGGATGTCAATGTGAGAAAAATAAAACAGGCAGAACAGCTACACAAAGAGTTTTCCCACAAATGTGATTGCTCAATAACTGCCTTGTCGCAAAATGACAGCAGCAATGAAACTATTTCCTTTTTATCACATTAAAAATTAAATTTGAATTATTATTATTTAAAATTCCAAAACAAGGATTAAATTGTGCACGAGTGATACAATTCTTAATGCAGGTAGCAGAGAATTACAGGATTGCAGTCACACTGGGTCTACAATCATGCCATTGTTTTCAGTAATCTAAGTGCGCCACAGTAAACAGGTGGCAAACTGGGGGAAGAGCGACTGAGAGGGAACGGCACAGTAAATTATGCACGGTAAAAACAAAGCCAAAGCACATCAGATAAAAAAGGAGCGAAGAATCTGCAGCAGCTTGCGTCTGGGAGCGTGCGAGGTGGCTGGGGCTTGGGCAAAGGGGCAGACACTCTGCCGTCTGCACACACACACATACACACACACAAGGCTCTCCTGTTCTGAGCAGCTGCTCTTGCCTTTCCATGCAGGCACCAGCCTTGGGAACCACCACGATGAGGCTCCCCCAAAAAATGGGCACCGGGGGCCCCCAAAGTCTGAGTCTGTCTGCCTCCCCCCCTTCTCTGTCTCTCCCTCCCCCTCTTGATGATGATGCTGGGAAGGACTTGGAGTTCATGGTCAGACTGCCTATTGAGCTGACAGGCTGACTGTTTGCTCAATTCAGTCTTCTATTCAGCCAGGACAGGAGGAGGGAGACCAAGACACAGTAACACTTAAATGAGTATTAATTTAGGGAAGACAACCAGAGGGAGAGTGGGAAATCACGAAAGAAACAATGAAAGAGAAGCAGAGAGGGAGGTGCATTTTTTGGGGGGGGGACGATACAGACGCTGACCATCATACACAAACTTCCACTCACACTTATCCAGTTTTCAGACAATGAAAGAGAAGGATAGTCATTGCTACCCCATAAATATGAACGAATGTGGATGTTTGATCAGCTCGTGTTCTTAATCACCTGCACGCCCTCGAGTTGCTTGTTTAAGCCACGTGGAGCGACTAAACTCTGGAGTTCTCCGGGTTTAGCTTGTGTCACATGCCTCCTCTTTGCTTCAGTTTCACGTTGTACCAAGAGCACAGGCACCGTCAACTTCAGCCTCAATCTCTCGACCTGGCACTCGCTATGGCCTGCATGAGTCACAGCCATCTGAGGTGTTCATTTGCTGCGACCTTCTTAAAGAATCCTACAAAACAGAAAAAAACCCATTAAAAATCCAATAGCAGAACACCTTAAAATACAAAAGCCAATCCTGATGAGATAAACTGACAGTCTTCATTAATCAAATGTATATTCTGTTTTGAATTGAAGTAGTCAAATTATCAAAAATATTATTTCACTAAACACATTTCTCATTTCTTTTGTGTATTTTCAGGTTTTTAGAGTCAAGTCGAATAAAGTGACATCCATTAAATGGAAGAGCGGAGCTGAAACGGGCTGATGGAGTCAGACGGGTCTTTACTATGCATGTGCCCCAACATCAGATAAAAGACAGCACTTTAATTGTTCTACATTACTTCAGTCTTAGCATTTTTGATGCAGTTATAGCATCTAATGTTCCAAGGGCTGTATGTTGCGAGCAAAGTGTGTGTGTGTGTGGGTGAGAAACTCTTTATACGGGTCCAAGTCAAAGCACTCAACAAATTGTGTATTTGTTCAAATGCACTTTTTGGGGATTCTCAAAGTAAAAAGGTTTTATTCGGGTAGTTCTATAGTGAATTTAATGAGGGTTTTCTAGAAAATGTCATTTTAAAGGCCAATCATTTAGGTACTTTTTGATAAAAAAGAAAAGACAGAGATAAAAAAATCTCTTTAAATCAATTTAACGCAGTTTAACACTCAGATCTAATCTGTCTTGGTACAATCTTTAGCATAATGCACTTTATAACACACAAATTGATTTTTTTAATTTTAGTACTTTTCAATATTAAAGGAAAATGTAGTGGCCTGTGTTCATTCCCTAATGTACTTCTCTAATAACTGATTACTAATTGAAATCTAACATGAATTATTAGAAATGGCGTGTGAGGCTCTGTAGATTCTGCATGTATGAGTGTGAGACCCACGGCAGCGGTGAACGATACTGCACTCTGATTGGACAGCTCAGTGTGTTGTGCATCACATACTTGTTGGACAGAGAGCTGTTGTCTTTCATTTCTATGCAATTGTGTTGGGCTTGTAATCACCTGGAAGAGAAGGCAGATCAGAGCAGCTATTTATGACAGCAGGTTAAATCGGTTTTAAGGAAAGGAATATTTAGCAGAATATATATGAATATTTCATTCCTACTAAAACTGGTTTCAACAGCAAACTGTGAAGTCATTGGCTACTAAAAAGCAGCTTCATCTAGCTTTTGTGTGTTTTTTTTTAATTTTTGTTTCAGCACTGAAAATAGAAACAAATTTAAGGGGTATTAAATGCTCTGTATGTCTCTGCATTTTGTATTACAATCAATCATGGCTGAAGAGAAAATTCAGTTCAATAGGCAAATGTTTTACAAATTTATTACAATTTGAAGAGAATTGTGCAATCTATTTTCTAATTATTTTTCTTAAAATAATTTTTAATTACAGCATTATCCTTTAAGTAAAACTGAGATAATCTGTGTTTTTTTGTTTATTAAAAAGAAAATCAAGTGAATGTGAAGACAATGGATTGATGAAATGGGGCCTTTTACTATGCAATTGTATTTTTTCTGTGATTTTCAGCTAGTCATAGTCCTGTAATGATAACAATAATAACTCAAACCATATTTTCTATTAACATGTAATGCTATAGTTCTATTCATCATCTTACTGTAGGTTTTTCTTTCATGTTTCACGTTCAATGTGTTTTTTGTATTTCCGCATGTGCCTTTTAACGATGTCCTGGTATGGCTATTAATAAAAGTTTACTTTGAAAACAAACTTGTGCTGTTATCGCTAATATTTTGGAGGAAATTTCATACATATACGATTAAATTCAAGAATCCTAAAGGCGCCATGTCAGATTTTGCATGAAACGTAAACTCACTCTATGATGGTGGAAGCATATATAAGACAGACTCGTTTTCTTAAAACTTAGTTTTTTTTTATTTGTTCTGGGTTTATTCAACTAGGAATGAACCACATGCAGTCTAGTGTATTAGTGTCCAACAACAATATCTTGGCCGCTCAGATTTGTGTGGTTCTGTGCCAGAAGACAAAGTGCATTAGTGTACTGTAGGCCATAATGCTGCTGATCTGCCACGCACTTTGGTGAGACCCTGAGACTGTGCCTGAATTGTAACCAGTCAATTAAACAACCAAAAATTAAGCTTATTCAGATTCGGCATATATGGCTATGTCAACGGGTTTCTAGACAGATATACAACAGCGGTGGCCACATACCAATACTTTATGGAGTTAAAAAAAAAGAATATTAGTTACAAAGATTGCAAAAGATTATAAGATGGCATCACAGAAGTTAATGAGACAGCATGTTGCAAATGGTGGTCTCTGTGCTTTCTGGGCTGCAAAGAGAACAAAGCAGAACAGAAAAGAGAGATACATCCACCTAAAAAAAACATCTTCTAATACAACACTGCTGGCATTTCAATACTGTATAAACCAGGGCAGTAAATGAAAAGAGAGAGAATCTGTGAGTGACCATCAGAAAGATGTGTCCTTTATTGATTACTTGCTTATAGGCTGCGTCCATTCTGCCCAGTCAGTCAATGACTAAACAGTCAGTGCTTTGTAAGAAAACTGGCTTCAGACATGTTAACAAGTGACCATAACTTCATACATTTAACATATATTACATTTTTATTTAAGGATAATTGTATTATTTATATTTAATTAAAGTATTAAATAATATGAAATTTTTCTCTCTATTTAGTACCACATGTGCCTTTTAACAATGTCCTGTTATGGATATTAATAACAGGTTACTCTGAAAACAAGTATGTGCTATTGTCACTAGGATTTTGGTACTGTTTTGGGACATTATATATAGTTATATTGTAAAAAATGTAATATTATTAAACATACAATTAATAATAAAATTACAATCATGTATATGTATTATTTACCTCTTTTAACTGACATTTTCTCCAACTGCTGAGCCATATGTGTTGAGGATTGTAGGATAACACTGGCAAGAATGCATCGGTGGCCTTCAAAATGAAGATGAAGGCATCTTAGTAGACTTGCTGTCTTCCTCCATATACTGTCTGTGAAAGCAGATTTTTTAGCTTTCAGCTGCAGCCTTGATTCCCAGCACACACTGATGACTGACCTCAAATCTCCATCTTAGTAATCAAATACTGAACAATTCCTGTCATCTGCTAACTGCAAAGTAAATCAGCACTGAAGTTACTTTGTTGAAGAAGATCAAATAAATAAATAAATAAATCATATATATACAGTAAAATCATAAATCAAAAACTATGAAGATACTTATGTAAAAACATAATTCTAATGCTCCAGTACTAAAGTATTATATGTGAAATCCTAATGGAAATGCCCAAAGATTCCAAATACTGGCGGTATATAAAATATAGATAATAAATCCTGAAAGAAAAAATAGGACATTGCATTAATTAGCCACAATTTAACATAAAAATGGCTTTTCAAATAATTATAAACAAGTAAAGTTTCAATAAGGCTGTAATGTGAAGCTTCAAAATGAAAACAAATGTTCACACAAACCCAAGAACAGACACATTGTATTTTAGGCGTAACTAAACAATTTGGACATTGTGATGAAAGCTGGGAAAACAGAGCTCATTTATATATTTATATATACATTTATATATTTAGGATATCATTTATCAAGCATCACTTATATCCTCATGAATCACCATTTCATTGTCTTTGACAGTTCTACTCCAGTCCTGAGCTGCGTCTGACCCATTGTCTGCCTGCTTTGCAAATTCTGTTCAAGCTGCTAAAGTCACTCGGCTAAAACAAAAGCAAGTAAATACAAGATGGAGAATGTGGGAAAGGAATTCGAACCCTGGATTTGCCTCATGTGAACGCGAACAGCCCCAGAGGGCGTGTGCGGCAGGGATGAAGTCACCCTAGCCCACCGTGCTGGTGTGAATGACGAGGGACCGGAGAGAGGAGTCAATGCAGACAACACAACAATGAGAGTTTAAGGGTGAGAAGGAGGAGAGGAACAAGAGAATAGACCTGAGGTCAAGTTCAAGGCCATTCTCACTGTCTGGCGATGTAAATGAGGTTTAACACACACACAGACAAATTCACACTTTTCCCAGCCCACACAGCATTCCCTCAATACAGTCTCTGCAATGAGCTAATGTTTGTGCAACTATTAATTTGTAGATTTAATAGGTTGTTTACATGAGAGCCTATTTCTGCCTCAAAAAAACTAAATTGTGACTTCATTTCCCAATTATGAATTGATATTGTGCAATGTGACATTACATTTTACAATTATCTTTTTATGTTTCACTCTGAGGTGGAATCAGGTTTCAAGAGTTTTAGCAATTGCATCATAGCTAAAAGTAATATTTTATTAGTATTTTCAGGCTACATTTTTTAAATCTACATTTGTCAAATTAAAATTCTAGATCTCACATCATTCATCAACACAGATATTTGTTGATATATATATATATATATATATATATGAAAATTATGACATTTAAACTCCAGCATCTAGAAATTTTGACCTAAACATTACATAGGACCAGATGTTTTGCTCCTTTTTTTCTCTTTTGGTCTTTTACTGAAACATGTCTTTAAAATTCTAATTCTTTTGTCTACCTTACACTCTCAAAAACAAAGGTTCTTTATTGGCATCAATGGTTCTATGAAGATACTTGCACAAAATGTTCTTTATAGTGGAAAAAGGTTCTTTAATTTTTTAAAAAGCTCCTCACACTAAGATAAAAATGTTTCTTTTATGAACTCTTCACTGAAGGTTCTTTTGGGAACCAAAATGGCTCTTCTATGGCATCACTGTGAAAACCTCCTTTTGTAACCTTTATATTTAAGAGTGTAATTTATCTGATTACTTGTGTTGTTTGTGAATCAGCCAGGAATAATGTCTCGGATGGTGAATTTCCAGCACATTCTGCACAACATACGCACAAAGACGAACCACGTTCTACATTAATGAGTTGAAATGGCTGTCACTTGCTGATAGACTGTCAGAAGGATGCCTGTTAATTTGTTGAAACAATGGAAAGCTGGCTGCACAGATTCACAAAGATTCACTGATAGTGATAAATATCAGTATTTACTTACAGGTACAACGTTTAGTCTTAACTGCAGACGAAGGATTTAAAAAAAAAATACTTTTTTCCCCCCTACAGTATACAATTTGGTATATTATTATGTGCTGATAGGCAGGACCACACACACACACACACACACACACACACACACACACACACACACTGGCACAGTCTCTCTCCCACAGCCAGAGAACGTGCACAGCGTCCCAGTGCTGTTCCACAGCTGCTGCGAGTCGGCTTTGTGCCATGCTCCACCTCACTCTCTCCCTCGGTCTTCTCTCGCTAGCTTTCATGCTGCCTCCTAGTTGCCGTAGCAACTGATGGCACTGACTCAGAGAGGAAAGAGGTCTGCAGCAGAGAACAACACTTGCGAGCACACACACGCACAGAACACAAATATATGCCAATGCACAAACAAACAAACACACGCAGTGATGGGAAAATACACTTATACCACTGCTTGCATACCTACAATTTTTTTTAAATAATTTTCTCAGTATTAATTAATTATCTCAATATTTAGATTTTTTTGCACCCTCAGATTCCAGATATTCAAATAGTTGTATCTCGGCAAAATATTGTCCTATCCTAACAAACCATTGACCCTTATGACTGGTTTTGTGGTCCAGGGTCACATATATAATGTGAAGTTAAATTTCTAGCTGACTGATACAATACTGTTATGTATGAAGAGACATAACCTGTATAGACTATAGATGATGCATCTAGTTCTGTACTAATAATAACATTTAAACAATAAATCCAGATTTTAACGTTTCATTCCACAAGCCCTAAATGAATAGTGTTTCAGAAGCAGTCAGCAGGTAAATGTGCTGCTGGTCCAGTGCTGATTGACAGGAGCACCATTGCAAGGGGACTGAGGGTTTTGTGATCTGTGTGGACCTTAAGAAGCTAATTGTAATCTAATGTACTGTACCGTTCAGCGGTATCGGTTTGGGAAGATGCTTTAAAGGGTTAGTTCACTCAAAAATGAAAATTAGCCCATAAATTACTCACCCTCAAGTCATCCTAGGTGTATATGACTTTCTTCTTTCAGACGAATCCAGTCTGAGTTATATTAAAAATGGTCTTTGATCTTTCAAGCTGTTTAATGGCACTCAGCGGGTGTTGCATGCATCAGTCCAAAAAAAGTTGAATAAAAAGAGCCCATCCATAAAACAAAGTGTCTCACATGGCTCCGGGGGGTGAACAAAGGCCTCCTGTAGCGAATCGATGCGTTTGTGTAAGACAAATATCCATATTCAAAACTTAATAATCACTTTAATGTAGCTTGCACCAACAGTCCTACATGGAAGCAGCTCCAGGAGGATGACATATGAGGTCTGCGCACCAGTACTAAACCCTACTCACTACTGGTGATTCTCGTGAAAACCAATGTATGTTAACAAGAGCAAAGGAAGCAAAGTTTCCTTACTTTAGCAAAGGAAAACCAGTCTCCTCTTGGCTTATATCGAAATCCTTCGACATTCCAATTAGTGACCGTTGTTTTGTTTTGATCTCTCCCCTGCGCTTCCGCATTCGTCACTTCTGAGCGGCGCATCGATTCGCTACAGGAGGCCTTTGTTCACCCCCCGAGCCATGTGAGACACTTTTTTATGGATGGGCGCTTTTTATTTCACTTCTTTTGGACTGATGCATGCAACACCCACTGAGTGGCATTAAACAGCTTGAAAGATCAAAGACAATTTTTAATATAACTCCGACTGGATTCGTCTGAAAGACAAAAGTCATATACACCTAGGATAACTTGAGGGTGAGTAATTTATGGGCTAATTTTCATTTTTGGGTGAACTAACCCTTTAATGTTTTTCTAAAAAGTCTCTTATGCTCACCAAGGCTGCATATATATAATAAAAATACAGTAAAAACAGTAATATTGTGAAATATTATTCCCATTTTAAATAATTGTTTTCTATTTTAGTATATTTTTAATGTCATTTATTCCTGTGATGGCAAAGCTGTCAGCAGTCATTATTCCAGTCAGTGTCACATGATTCTTCAGAAATTATTTGAATATGCTGATTTTGTGCTCAAAAAACATTTCTTATTATTAATCTTGAAAACAATTGCGCTACTAATATTTTGATGAAAATTGTGTTAATTTTATTTCAGGATACTTGAAAGTATTTATTTGAAATAGAAATATTTTGTAACATTATAAATGTCTTTAATGCCTGATCAATTTAAGGCATACTTGATGAATAAAAGTATTGATTTCTTGAAAAAAAAAAATTCTTACTGCCCACAAACTTTTCAATGTTAGTATAGGTGGAGTGATTCAGTCATACTGAACTATACATTTGACTTGACTAAAACCATTCAAATTAAATGATATGAATTAATTTTTTTAGGCACTGGTCACTTGGTTTAGAACAAAATCCCAGTAGTCCCAGGCCCAAGGACACCCTACTCAGACCAAACCAGGCCACCATAGATTTAGATTTACTTTATACTTTAAAGTAACTTTCATTAACAACATTCAATATTCAATATGTCCGTTGACCACCTGCAATATTTTCAAAGACCCCTAGCCAAGAGCACTGAACAGCATCTATTGGGACCCTGTCATTTCCTCAACACAAATGTCATTTGCTTCAAAAGGTTCTTCAAGCGATGCCATAGAAGAACCATTTTTAGTTCCACAAAGAACCATTCAGTCATAGGTTCTTTAAAGAACCATCTCTTTCTTACCTTTTTATAACCTCAAGAACCTCTTTCCGCCACAAAGAACCTTTTATGAAACAGAAAGGTTCTTCAGATGTTAAAGGTTCTTTATGGAACCATTTAGACAAAAAGGTTCTTCTATGGCATCGTGAAGCACCTTTATTTTTAAGAGTGTACCTCTCCAGCAATTTTACACCGGCAATTCACTGCAACCACCACGAGAAGCTAAGCTACAACCATAATCCTTTAGGAATTTGAATTAAACCTAAATCTGCTGGTTAAAC